GCGCATGCTGACGGGGCGCGCTCCGCGCGCGCCCAGGCGCGAGGCGCCCCCCGCGGTCTCCTGGATATCATAGCACGAATGCGTAGAAACAGACGCATTTTGCATGGGCGCGGGCGCTTGCCCCGCCGTCTCCAAGACTGGCGCCCCTGGCGTATGACAGCGCCCCTGGCCCCGTCGAGCCCGCGGCCGCCCCGCGCGGCCCAGGGCGGGGCCACCCCCGCCGCGGGCGGCGAGGCGCCGGGCCGCCCGGGCCCGGCGCGCCCGTGGACTCCACCTGCCAGACCGCCTCGACCCAACCCGACCCGAAGTCCCAAATCTCGGGCGGGGGCCGCTGCTGCTGTCGTTGCTGTCGATGGCACAGGCCGCGCGAAACGCCTGCGCGTCCTCGGCCGAAAATCGAAAAAATAGCACGGGGTCGAAAAGAAACCGCCCTGGCCGACCAGCCATAACTGGGGGGGCTGCGGCCCTTCCCCCCGGGGGAACCCATCGCATCGACGATTTCTCGAGAGGGGTGTCGAAATTGATGGGCCCCCCAAGGGGGTAAGGAAAGCAGCTCCCCCAAAGCCGGGCCACCCCGGGCGGAATCAACTGCGGAGAACCCCGGCGGGGCAGCTCGCGGCCGAGGGGGGGGCGGCCGGGGGGCGCGCGGGCCCCGCCCGGGTTCTCTTCCGGAGCTCTGGGGGCGCCTCCCCCGAAACAAGGGTCGCAAATTGGCCGAGGGGGCGCGGGCGAGCCTCGTGTTTCGGCGGTGGACAAACCTCCCTGTAGCAAACCCCCCCTTGGTGAAAATGGCCGGGGACCGAAGCCGACGGACCCGGGCCCGCAAAAATGACGGCCGCGACGCCCTCTCGCGTACCGAAAACGGCAAATTCCTGAATCGACTGGTCAGGGTAGGAGGTCTATCCACCTCCGAATGTTTCAAGATGACCGACGTCTGGAAACAATTCAAGGCCCATGTTCTTGCAGAGTTCAAATCCAAAGCTGCTAGAATCGCGAAATTCGAATCAATTGTGGAGAAAGTTGGGCGGCGAAGGAGTTCCAGAAATCGGGGGCGCGCGTGAACTTTTCGCGCGCCCCCAGAACTGGTTTCGATGTTTCTCGGATTGTTCTGTCTGTCCGATCATCTCTCAACTTTGAAACTTGGTTCTTTTCTGGTTTTCAAATTACCAAGTTGTGTTGCGACATGATGTTGTTCGAAATCTCCCCGACTTCGGAATGTTTCCGAACTCTCGCTCCCCTGTGTTTCTGGACTCGAACTTCCGACCTTCCCTCGGCCCTAGCCCCAGCCCGAGCCCCCAACATTGTTTTTCCAGAAATGTCGAGCTTTTGCCCCCCCCCCTCCCGCCACTTACGACGCCGGGGGTGGTGGGCACCTCGGGGCATTCGGGTTGGATTTGGGCGCTCTGGCGGGCAATGGCCGGCGCGGGCGCGGGCCACTCGCGCCGCGCGCGCTGCCCCCCCCCTCCCGAGGAGCGCCCCTGGTCTGCGCTGGGCCGCGCCGCGGCGCTGCCGGGCGACAGGTGATGCTACGTCGTGCGCGACGCAACCGAATCGCGCAGGCGCCCTGGGAACCCTGGGCGCTGAGCGAAAACGCCGAGCGATCTGGCGAGGGCCGCGCGGGGGCCTCGACACGCGACGCGCCCCAACCCCAGAAACGCATGCGCTCCCTAGCTGCAGAAGCTGGCCGGTTCAAGTAGCAAGGAATTGGCCCCCGCCCCGGGCAGGCCGCGCCGCTGGCGTTCGACGAGCAGGATCGGGGAGGAAGAAAGACTAGATCCAAACTGAAGAGCTTCATCATTTAGCTCATCAGGCGGCCAGACCACAATAGTTTGTCGCTGAATCCCTCGGCCACTTCCAACGCGCACAGATGCATCCATGGACGAGCCAGTTCCGCATCCCTCGTTCCTGTGCCGCGCATGGTCTATCCCCTGTCGCCGAAGGCGCTGGGCCCCCACGGGCGCCCAATGCCGCTTACTCTACGCCCCCCAATGAAGAAGCCGTCTGTGTCCAGCGCAAATGCCGCGGCCGAGCAAGTCCGCAGGTAATGCGTCTGTCTCTCTGGAAGGGGTGCCCGCCAGCAACTCGCGCGCCTCCAGGGCGAGGGCAGCAGACGGCCCCGACGTGGCGCATTCAAACAGAGCGCCTCGTGAGTATCAGCGGGCCCTTTGCGACCATGCTCTTGCCCACCAGCGCGACGCTGCCGCGGTCCAGGCATATCGCCCATAAGCTCAATCTCGAGCGCCCCATCTTCGTATTCGGGTTCGGGCCTTTTGGCCAAACCTGCCCGCGTCCAGGCTTGGAACCACTTTGCCCTGGCGGAACAAAAAAACACCGCACTCCCTGCGTTCACGGGCAATGCCACAAGGATGTGCTAAATGTGAGATATGCTGTTGTTGAGCCGTTCAGGGTGAGGTCCCTTTCGAGCGGCAAGTATCCACGCTCGGGTACAGACGCATCTCGAATCAGCGTCGGTCCGCGTGGGAACTCCCCTCCCCCTCTTTCTCGGCACCAGCATGGTGTATCTGGCAGCGCTGGCAGATTGAGGCGGCATGGTTGGATCTGGTGCGCGACCAACTTGGAGCTGGCCGAACGAACTCCATGCATGATTTCTCTTTCCCATCGCCGGTGATCTCATCATCATTTCACTGACCTCGGACGCGTGCCCTCTGCGCCAAAGCCTTTAACTTCGCGGCCAACAATTCTCGGAGACTGCCGGATGCAAGTAGTTTGAAACCGTCGGGACAAAGACGGGGCAACCGATTTGCATTGAACCGGATGCAGCAATCTCGCAACGGAGAGGCTCGCCATCATCGCCAATTGGGCTCTCTTTCAAAGACGACAAGGTTCGGACCCGACAGAATACTTCAACTAACTTGAGCCGAAATGCCTGGGCCAAAACGACCACGGACGATTACCAGGACGAAGGCGAAAAAAGAGACAGGACCAGCAGCACGAGCAAGAAGAGCATAATCGAGAGTGCAAGCAGGAGTGAGAGGAGCAGGATCAAGAAGAGCAGGAAGATGATACACGCTCGCTACAGGAGGGGAGAGAAGGAGGGGGAATAGATGAGGGCGGAAGAGGGGGGAGGTAGATAGGGAGGGCGGGGGAGGAGGAGGAGGGGGAAGAGGAGGAGGAGGGGGGGAGGAAAACGAGGAGGAGGGAGAGTATCGGGAACTCAAGGGCGGGAGAGCTCCTCCTCCTGCTCCTCCTCATCCTCCTCCTTCTCCATTCCACTTCCTTCAAAATAACTCCTCCGTGTCGCACCCCGAAACCAATCGAAAAGGCGGGCCGGGCGTTTCGCCAAAGATCCCCTCACCATTTATGATCCTGAAGCTTAAAATCGGCAACTGTGGCAACTCCTTGACAAATGGAGGGCGGTCCGCTTCCACAGTGGCTCCCGCCTCAGCGCTGCGCGCACTCGTCTAAAAAAGTACAACAGCTTCACGGATTGAGGGCGGCCCGTTTGCAAAATGTGTTTTTCGCCTCAGCGCCGCGCACATGAGCCTTACAAAACTGCACGAGTCTCACGGATTGAGGGCGGGGCGTTTTTCAAATGTGGCTCTCGCCTCGGCGCCACTCGCACTCGTTTTTAACATGTGCAAGAATTTCATGGATTCGGGGCGGTTCCTTTTCAACATGTGGATCTCGCCCTCGTGCCTCGCACAATCGCTTGAACTCTTATAGAAGTTTCACAGGCTCGCATGGCTAACGTACCAGCAACAGTGTTTGGGAGCGCTTCAGGATTATCAAAACGCAAAAGAAAAGCATATTTGCGGTGTTGAAATCCCAGGGATGGTGTTCTGGCGCGATTCAGGATCGTCAAGACGAAACAATCAGGTTGATTCTTGGTGTTCGAATCCCGAGAACGGTGTTTTGGCACGCTTCAGGATCGATGGTCTCCCAACGGAAACCTTCCCCCCAGTGGAAAATGAATCCTTGCAGGTGCCTATGAAGAGGGAGCTTGGGGGAAGGGTATATCGTTGATGAATATTGGGTTTTCTCCTCGTCCTTCTCCTCCACCTCTTCCTCCTCCTCCTCCTCCTCCTCCGCCTCCTCACGGGAGATCGATATCCTTGGCGTCGCGGTGCTCACAATGCAGACGCGGACGGCTACTCACAGGCCGCGCGCTAGGGAAGAGGGTGAGGGAGGGGAGGGGGGGCTGAGGAGGCGTGGGGAAGAAAGGAGAGGTATGGGGTTGGGGTAAAGCTGGAGGGGTTGGGGGTGGAAGCGCGCCTGACATGGCCGTAATGCACCACGACGGTGGGGCGGACGAAGCATGATGGGGGAAAAGGCCGGAGAAACGAACCGACAGGGAGGACGAGGAGGTGAAACGGGAGGGACGAGGGACAAGGCAGGGACAGGAGAGGAAGAGGGCCATGAGGAGAGGGGAGGGGGGGGGCAATGGGGAGGGGAAGACAATCTTGCCAGCGCTCGGACGTTCATTCCCCGTGCACTGTTTCGGTTTCGCGCGTGCTTTTTTACTCGAAGATCCAGGATGTTCCTCGATGGCCCACGCCGAGAAAAAACGCACGCGTCCGAGCGATGCCGGGCAATTGGGGGGGGGGACAGCAGAGAGGGGCAGCGATAGGGGGGGAGAGAGGCATGGGGGGGAAAGGTCGACCTGGAATCGGCGATACATCGCCGACAGATCGGTGATAGGCTGCCGATGGTGAATCCGCACCTTCCTGGGCGGACTGGGGCTGTCGGGCCCCCGTCGGCGATCCACGGGCGATTCGGGGCCGACGCCTCCCCCCCCCCGAGCCTGTCCCCCCTCCCCCCAACGGAGATCCGACGTAGCGAAAAAATTGCAACTTCGCGAAAATCCGCGCCTTGAGGCCCAGACCCCATCTTTCAGCGTCATTTTTCGAGCCGGATCGATCTGTGAGGGTCCCGGGGCCCGAAAACAGGCGAAGACGCCCGGCTTGAGAAAATTGAGTCGCCAGGATCTCGGGGCCTGTCGTTGCCCCCGAGGTGGGGAAGGGAGAGGGGCAGGAAGGCGGTCACCGCACTTTCCGGCGCTCCGCCCTGGAGGTGCCGTACTCGAAGCCGTCGGAGCCCACGCCCGGGCCGCCCTTCGCGGCCCGCACCGAGAAGGGCTTCCCCTGCCCAAGGGGCGGCGGACAGGCAGGGCACGGGCGCAGCAGCGGCTCGGCGACGAGCCCGGGGGGGAAGGGCCGCCTCCTAGGAGGAGGCCTTCCCTCGGGGCCCGGGGCCCTCACAGCTGGATCCGGCTCGACGAATGGCGCAGGAAGATGGGGTCCGGTGCTCCAGTCGCGACTTTTCACGGTGTCCCAACTTTTTCGAGACGTCGGATCTCAGGGTTCTCAGAAGGCTCGGAAGGAGAGGCCTCAAAGATGCCTCCAAGAGGCCCCCGAGAGGCCTCCCACGAGGTCCCAACCTACATCCAACAGGCTTCATGCCCACAACCCAGCACGGTGGCGGGATGGGCCGACGGCCATCAGATCCGCCGCCCCCTGCTTGCAGGGGTGCACGGCGTGCTGGACGATTCAGGTTTTGGTTTTGGTTCTTTTTCTAAAAGAACTCCCCAGTGGGCTTCGGCCCGTCCCGCCGGCCACCCGCGCGTTTCCCAAAATCCGTCTGTCAATGCCCAAAAACGGCCGTTTCGCTCGGGACATCCTCAAAAAATCGCGAAGATGGCCCAAGATGGCCTCCAAGTCCGCCCGAGATGGTCCAAGACGGCCTCCAAAACGGCCCAAGAGAGTCCAAGACGGCCCAAGACGGCCCAAGAGGCCCCCCAGAGGCCTCCCAGACGGCCCAAGAGGCCTCCAAGAGGTCCTCCAGGAGAGTCCGAAGAGGCCAAAATCATTGATTTTTCCATTGGTTTTTGAAGGATTTTGGCATTTGCGCCTTTTCGGCTCTCCGACGGCTCAAGACGGCCCAAGAAGCCCCCAAGATCGCCCAAGAGGCCCCCAAGAGAGCTCCATGATGGCCCAAGTGGCCTCCAAGATGGCCCCTAGAGGGCCCCAAGAGGGCCCAAGAGGCCTCCAACACGCCCAAGATGGCCTCCAAGACGCCCAAGATGGCCTCCAAGACGGCCCTGGAGCATTCCAAGCGGGCCCCAAGTCGGCCCATAGAGGCCCCCCAAACGGCTTCCGACGGCTTCAGACGTGCCAGGAACCCACCAAGATGGCCGAAGTTGGCTCGAAGCTGGCCCGAGACGGCCCAAAAAGCCCCAAAGATCGCCCAAAGCTTGCCCAAGAGGCCTCCAAGACGGCCAAGATGACCTTCAAGATGCCCACGTGTTCCCCGAAGGCTTTCCAAACCGATTCGGGGAACACGTGGTCCGATAGCTTGGCAGGTCTGGCCTCAACGTTCGGCCACATAGGCGCTTCCAAAAAGGCAGGGGGCGGCGGTGATTCGCCGTAGGCGTCTTCGATCCGCCGCCCCCTGTCGATTCATCGCAGGGGTGCCTGGCGTGCTAGATTTCTTAGGTTTTGGTTTTGGTTCTTTTTCCAAAAAAGAACTCCCCCTGGGGCTCCGGCCCGTCCCGCCGGCCACCCAGAAACTGCATCAGTCAATGCCTGAAACGGCCGTTTCGCTCGGGACATCCTCAACGAATCCCGAAGATGGCCCAAGATGGCCTCCAAGTCCGCCCAAGATGGTCCAAGACAGCCTCCAAGACGGCCCAAAAGAGTCCAAGACGGCCCAAGAGGCCCCCCAGAGGCCTCCCAGACGGCCCAAGAGGCCTCCAAGAGGTCCTCCAGGAGGGCCCGAAGAGACCGAAGTCATTCATAGGTTTTTGGAGAATTTTGGAATTTGCTTCTTCTCGGCATTCCGACGGCTCAAGACGGCCCAAGAGGCCCCCAAGATCGCCCAAGAGACCCCCAAGAGGGCCCCATTGCGGCCCAAGTGGCCTCCAAGATGGCCCCAAGAGGGCCCCAAGATGGCCCAAGAGGCCACCAACACGCCCAAGATGGCCTCCAAGACGCCCAAGATGGCCTCCAAGACGGCCCCGAAGCGCCCCAAGAGGGCCCCCAGTCGGCCCAGAAAGGCCTCCCAAACTGATCCCGACGGCGTCAGACGTGCCAGGAACCCACCAAGATGGCCGAAGTTGGCTCGAAGCTGGCCCAAGACGGCCCCCGAGAGGGCCTCCAGAAAGGCCAGAAAAAGGCCAAAAACCTTGATTTTCCGCAGGTGCTCGAAGGATTTTGACATTTCCTTCTTTTCGGCCGTCCGATGGCCCGAGACGGCCCAATAGCCCCCAAAGATCGCCGAAAGATCACCCAAGAGGCCTCCAAGATGGCCCCAGAACGGCCCCAAGACGGCGCCAAGAGGCCCCCAAGACGGCACAGGAGGCCTTGAAGCCGCCCAAGATGGCCTCCAAGATGGCCCTGGAGCAGTCCAAGAGGGCCCCAAGTCGGCCCATAGAGGCCCCCCAAACTGCTTCCGACGGCGTCAGACGGACCAGGAGCCCACCAAGACGGCCGAACATGGCCCTAAGATGGCCCAAGACGGCCCAAGAGGCCTCCAAGAGGGCCTCCAGGAAGGCCCTAAAAGGCCAAAATCATTGATTTCCCACCAGTGTTTGAAGGATTGTGGCACTTGCTTGTTTTTCGGCCTTCCGACGGCCCGAGTGCCCCCAAAGATCGCCCAAGAGGCCCAAGACACGGCCCCAAGAGGCCCCCAAGACGGCCAAAGAGGTCTCCAAGACGCTCAAGATGGCCTCCAAGACGGTCTAAGAGCCCTCCAAGACGTCCTCCCAAGAAGGCCCGAAAAGGTCAAAATGGCCTCCAGACGGCCAAAGTGACCTTCAAGATGCCCACGTGTTCCCCGAAGGCTTTCCAAACCGATTCGGGGAACACATGGTCCGATAGCTTGGCAGGTCTGGCCTCAACGTTCGGCCACATGGGCGCTTCCAAAAAGGCAGGGGGCGGCCGTGATTCGCCGTAGGCGTCTTCGATCCGCCGCCCCCTGTCGATTCATCGCAGGGGTGCCTGGCGTGCTAGACCTTCTCGGTTTTGGTTTTGGTCCTTTTTCCGAAAGAACTCCCCCTGGGGCTTCGGCCCGTCCCGCCGGGGTCCCGGGAGATTGCCGAAAAACCCGTTGCAAAAGTTTGTCCTGCTCCAGACGGCTCCAAGACGGCCCAATATTGTCTCCAAGATGCATCCAAGACGGCCAAGATGGCTTCCAAGACGGCTAAGATGTCTCCAAGATGCATCCAAAACGAACCAAGATGCACTCAACACGGCCTAAGATAGCCTCAACATGGCCCCAAATGGCCCAAAAGGCCTCCAATACGGCCCAAGAGGCCTCCAAGAGGTCCTCCAGGAAGGCCCGAAGAGGCCAAAATTATTGATTTACCTTTTTGTTAAAAGGATTTTTGGATGTGCGCCTCTTCGGCTTTCCGACGGCCCAAGACGGCCCAAGAGGCCCCCAGGATCGGCGCACATCGTCCCAGAGGCCTCCAAAATTGCCCCATGACGGCCCGAGAGGCCCCCAAGACGGCCCAAGACGGGCCAAGAGGCCTCCAAGACGCCCAAGATGGCCTCCAAGACGGCCCCGAAGCGCCCCAAGAGGGCCCCAAGTCGGCCCAGAGAGGCCCCCAAGACGGCTCCCGACGGCGTCAGACGTGCCAGGAACCCACCAAGATGGCCGAAGTTGGCTCGAAGCTGACCCAAGACGGCCCAGGAGGCCTCCAAGAGGCCTCCAGGAAGGCCAGAAAAGGCCAAACACATGTATTTCCCTTTGTTTGTTTTATGAGTTTGGCCTTTGCTTCTGTTCGGCCTTCCGACGGCCCGAGACGGCCCAAGAGCCCCCAAAGATCGCCCAAAGATCGCTCAAGAGGCCTCCAAAATTGCCCCATGGCGGCCCGAGAGGCCCCCAAGACGGCCCAGGAGGCCTTTGAGACGCCCAAGATGGCCTCCAAGACGGCCCTGGAGCATTCCAAGAGGGCCCCAAGTCGGCCCAGAGAGACCCCCCAAACGGCTTCCGACGGCGTCAGACGGGCCAGGAGCCCACCAAGACGGCCGAACATGGCCCTAAGATGGCCCAAGAGGCCTCCAAGAGGGCCTCCAGGAAAGCCCGAAAAGGGCAAAATCATTGATGTTCCTAGAGTTTTTCAAGGACTGTGGCATTTGCTTTTTTTCGGCCTTCCGACGGCCCGAGACAGCCCAAATGCCCCCAACGATCGCCCAAGACGGCCCCAAGAGGCCCCCAAGACGGCCCAAGAGGCCTCCAAAACGCTCAAGATGGCCTCCAAGACGGCCCAAGAGCCCTCCAAGACGTCCTCCAAAAAGGCCCGAAAGGGTCAAAATGGCATCCAGACGGCCAAGGTGACCCTCAACATGCCCACGTGTTCCCCGAAGACTTTCCACACCGATTCGGGGAACACGTGGTCCGATAGCTTGGCAGGTCTGACCTCAACGTGCGGCCACACAGGCGCTTCCAAAAAGGCAGGGGGCGGCGGCTGGCCATCGCTCGGACGTCCATTCCCTGTGCTATTTTCGGTTTCGTGCGTGGTTTCTTCGCCAAATGACCAAGGATGCTCCTCGATGGTCCTCGCCGAAGGACAAATACACATGTCCGAGCGATGCCAAGGCGGTGATTCGCCGTAGGCGTCTTCGGTACCTACTTTCAACGACTGGCGTGGAGGGTCGGCGGCGAGCCCGGGGGAAGCGAGAGGGTGGGCGGGCCTTGTCAGCTGGCTCCGAAGTCCCCCGCCCTTTCCGAGAAGTGTTCTAGACCTTGCCCGAAGACACAGGCTACTTCCCAGAAGGCGCGAGGGCTTCTGGGAAGTCCCGCCGCCTTCTGAGAGGGCCTTTTCCTTCTCGCTTCCCCCCTTCGCTTGCCGCCGATCCGCCTCCACCTCTAGAGATGCAGCGTGCGATCTCCCAATCACGGGCACGCCAAAATCTCAGACCAGAGCTGGGCCAACTGGAGGGAGCCTCCCCGGTGCGAGCGCAACGACATGCGCTCTCCCTCCTTCTTCGCCTCCATTCGCTCGTACTCCTCCGCTTCCTTCTCCTCCTCGTGCTCCTGTCGCTGGTCCTTCTGAATGCACTCCCAGCCTCCTCGCTTTCGCCCCGATTGTGAGCCAAAGCGAGCCCCCTTCCGGCCTCCCCACCAAACGATTACAAAGTAGACGACATCCCTTTCGGCATTGACGCGTGGAACATAGAAGCACTGGTCTCGCTTTTGCGCCGCGCGAAGTTCCATATCCGTGGAAGGTGTGCTCCCATTTGGCCGCCCAACACTTTAATTTTCGCCAAGCCCATCGGAAGCGAAAATTCGAACACGTTGGCACCTTGACCGCCGCGCCAGGTCAAGCTGAATTTGGGGTGCGGTTGTTGTCCTGACTTGTCCATTCGGGCAATGGCGTGCCATGACATGGTTGCTTCGAGTGCGAACTCACGCATCAAAACTGCCAGACGCTTTGCACCTTGTCCTCCGTTAAGTTGGGTCGACGCTCTTGAGCAGATCATGGCCGTGCGGAAGCCGCTTACTCGCTCGAGCTGTCTGCCTCGGCGCCTGCATGGCCTTTGACTCGACACTGCTATCCTGTCATACTCTGATCCCTGTCAGCGAAATCATCTACAGTATACTGCAGGTGCTTCATTGTTTACGTTGCAAATAAAGTGACTGGAAGGGAGCACGACGCACACACAACGCGTGCGCTCGAGATCAACACGGTGTTCTCGCCTGGGCACCGCACAGGTTGTATGTGCACTCCCATCTGAGGCAAGGCTCATATTTTTGCCCACCAAAATCATTTAAAGCGGGCCGTGCGAGAGAAAACCAAAAGCTGTTCCCACCGGAACGCTACGCGAATGCGGCGTGAAAATAAGATCTTCCGCTTGGGCGCTGCATGAGCTATCTGATCGCCAGGCCCACTGGGAGCGAACAGCAGGCGGACGATCATCCCAGCAGTGGGACACTCGCAACTCGACTTACTTCGAATAGGAACCTGTGTTATGCAAAGGCAGCGCGGCAGGCGCGCGATCATGTGCACACGCACGCGCGGCGCCTCACTGCGTGTGCGAGCTCAAACGCTCAAATGGCCGCGTCTTGCCGCTTCCCCCGCGGTCCGGTGTGAGTTTCCGCTGCGCGGTGGACGACGCGCTGACTGCGCGCCTGGTGTCGGTTTCCGCGCGCGCAGGCGCGTCCCACGCCCATGCTGGCTGCACGCGGGGACTCGTGGCACGCGTTGAAGACGGTCCATCGCTCCGTTGTGCCACCGGCGGTCTCCCAAGGCATGGCAGGGTGGAAGCTGGGCGGGGCCCGCTGACTCGCTCCAGCTCTCTGCCTCTGTCGTCAACTCCTGCCCCTGCTCCTGCTCCTCCGGAGCGGGAGACGTGAAGGAGGAAGTGGACCAGACGGAGGAGAAGCGTGAGTGGGAGGAGGTGCGTGTGGTGAGGTGGAGATAAAAGAACGAAGGGGATGATCAGGTGACCGAGGAACTAGAGTACACACTGCGTTGGTGGGGTACGCCTGCAAGGGAAGCTGGGAAAAGTGGAAGTTGGAAACTCCGTGAAAGCGGAAGTGGCGAGGGCTGGAAAGACTGGCAGGGGCTGAAGCGAGCCCGAAACAGCTGGGATGAGGTCGCCACGGCTGGCAGGACCAAAGGAAGACTGGCCAGGGCTGGCAAGAGTGGAAGGCCTGGCCCCCGCCACTCTTCCAGCTTCTCTCCCGGAGGGTTTCCGCGTCCTGTCGCTCGGCTCCCCCTCTGCCTTCGTGGGCGGAGGCTCCGTCAGCAGCCTCTGCAGGAAGTCGAAGCTCAGCGGCTCGGGGTTCTCGGGCCTGTTCGCCGGGATGCAGTACAGCAGCCGCTCAAGGAGGTCGAAGCCGAGCGCCAGGTAGGCAGCGACGTTCGCCAGGAGGGCCGCGTACACGGGCAAGCGCAGCGCTGGCACCATGCCTCGATCGGTGCGGCACGGAAGGGCCGGGATGGGGAGGGAAGAGAGGATGGGGCGGAGGGAGGAGGGAACAACGCGGCGCAACTGTGCCACCCATGGCTGCTCCTCCCTCCCTCTCTCCTCCTCCTCCTCCTCCTCCTCCTCCTCCTCCTCCTGACTCCTCCTCCTCCTCCTCCTCCTCCCCCACTCTCCTCACTCTCCTCACTCCTCTTCTCTTCCTCGTCCTGTCCACTCCCATTCACCCTTCCCCCACTCCTCATCCTCACTTCATCCTTTCGATTTCCCCTTTCCCCCCTCCCTTTCCCTTTCGATTCCACTTCCTCCTCCTTTCGATGTCCCCTTTCCTCCCTTCCTCCTGTCGATTTCCCCTTTCCCCTTCCTCCTTTCGATTTCCCCCGCCCCCCTCAAGCATCCCTCTTCCAAACTCCTGGACTCGGTGTCATGGACTCGGTGCATCGGGGGTGGAGGAGTTCGATTGCCCTTTGGTTGCCCCTCCCGTGGATCTCTCTTCCTCCTGCCATTGGGCCCCTCGGCCTCCCTCACCCACGGGGGAACAAAAAGATACCCGCACCACCACTCCACAGACCTCTCCTGGGGTGCGTTCTTGACCAGGGCTTCGAGGCGGCAGTGACGAGAGAAGGGTATCGGGTATCGGTATTGTTAGGTCGGGCATGTCCTCCTACAGGCGGATTTTGGAAAAAGATATACAAATAGTCCAAACATAATCAGATGCAGTCAACAAAAAGCACGACAAAATCGTCCCCTGACTATTTCCTTACTACTCTTGAGTACTCCTCCTGTAGAGGGACATGCCCGACTTAACGGTATTGGTATCTCCCCCCTCTGAGCACAGCCGCCCTGGGCGCCCTGCCGCGCAAGGGCGGGGCGGCCCTTCTGCTGCCCCCCGCGCGCCCAGCCCCGCGGCCACGGAGTGGAGCGCCCGCAGCTGGAAAGCCAGGTCCGAGCGCGAGAAGTTCGCGAACCACGCCGTGTGCGCCACCGAGCAGAGCACCAGGGGCGCGGGGCTGTAGAGCAGCCCCACCTAGGAGGCACTGGCCACGCCCGCCGAAGCTCCTCCTCCTCCTCCTCCTCCTCCTCCTCCTCCTCCTCCTCCTCCTCCGCCTTCTCCTCCTCCTCCTCCTCCGCCTCCTCCTCCTCCGCCTCCTCCGCCTCCTCCTCCTCCTCCTCCTCCTCCTCCGCCTCTTCTGCCTCCTCCTCCTCTCCTCCTCCTCCTCCTCCCCTCCTCCGCCTCTTCTCCTCCTCCTCCTCCGCCTCCTCCCTCCTCCTCCCTCCTCCCTCCTCCCTCCTCCTCCTCCTCCTCCTCCTCCTCCTCCTCCTCCTCCTCCGCCTCTTCTGCCTCCTCCTCCTCCTCCGCCTCCTCCCTCCTCCTCCCTCCTCCTCCTCCTCCTCCTCCTCCTCCTCCTCCTCCTCCTCCTCCTCCTCCTCCTCCTCCTCCTCCTCCTCCTCCTCCTCCCCTCCGGCACCCGGGGCCCCGGGGCCAGGCGAGAGTTCCTCATGCTTCTTCCTGCTTCCTTCCGTCCCAGAGGGCACCCACGACCCACCTTCGGAGCCGCGCCGGGCGAGGGGGGCACAAGCACCCCTCGCATGGCGGGCTTGGGGCCCTCGGCCGGCACGCCTGGCCCCGGTTGAGGGGTAAGGACAGGGGGGGGGACTGGCACGGGGGGGGAACATCGACCTGGCACGGGGGGTCTGACGCGGGGGGACTGACACGGGGGGGGACTGACACGGGGGTAACGACAGGGGGGGGACTGGCACGGGGGGAAACACCGACCTGGAATGGGCGATGCCTCGCCGAGAGTTCGGCGGTGGGCCTCCGATTGCCGACCCGGACGCTCCTGGGCAGGTTGGGGCTGCCGGGCCCCTATCGGGGATCCATGGGCGATTGGGGGTCGATGCACTCCCCCCCCCCTGTGCCTATCCCCCCTCAAGTCGCTGACCCGGACGCTCCTGGGCAGGTTGGGGCTGTCGGGCCCCTATCGGTGATCCATTGGCGATTGGGGGTCGATGCACTCCACCCCCCTGGTGCCTATCCCCCCCCCCAGTCGCTGCCCCTGACCGGTGGGCACCAGACCGAGAACGGGTCTGGTGCCCCGGCCGCGGAGCAGGGAGAGAAGAACGTCGCATGCCGGGGGCGGCCTGGCGAGTGGGAGGGGGGGACGGGGAGGTGGGGGCTGCTCGTCGCGTCGACGGCGGCCGCGGCCGAGGCGTCGAGGCGGGCGTGGCCGCCCTGGTAGTGGCAGCGAGCCAGAGGCGGCAGCGGCGGCAGTGGGTCGGGAGCTGTCGTGGTCGGTGATGCGCTGTGGTGATCGGCGCCGCAGCCGCGGCGGCAGCGGCGGCAGCCGCTGGCTCCCGCCTCGGCGGCCCGGTGCCCGGACTGCAGTGCAGGCGCGAGTCGGCCGCCGCTGCCGTGCCAGGCGCCACGAGCAGCCAGCGCCCCCGCCCGCCAGGCCGGGAGGAGGCATCGCAGTGCTCGGCGGCAGCTCGTGGGAGCCTCCCGTGCCGTCTTGTCGGCTCTCGCGAGTCGGCGCCAGATCGGCGCAGAGCCGATGCCGAATCGACGCCGGATCGACGCTGACCGACGCTGAATCGGCGCTATCCCATCGACTCCCAGACGCTGATCGGCGCGAGTCGGCGCGAAACGCGGGTTGAATGAAGGGGCCCCAGGACACACAAATAAATACACACAAATAAAAATATTCCCCATATTTTCTCATATTTTCTGGGTTTCTGTCTTCCCCACCACTTCCCATATTTTCCCATATTTTCCTGGGAGTCGACGATTAATTGTGTCTGTGTTTTTTTCCCTCCTGATTGAAGAGGGTGCGCCAGGCTCCCCTGACTTGGGACGAGGGAGCGGCCGACCCAGGCACGGCCGACGCAGGCGGCAGTGGGCTACCAAAGTGTGCAAGGCAGCGCAGCATGCCCGAGACATCCTTGCTTTGTCCTCCACCTCCTCTCCCTCTTCTGTCGCGCTTTTCGCACTCTCCGAAGAGTTGCCAATCGCGCGCTCTTCTGCCCACGCGTCCCTCCGGATGCTCGGCTTCGAGGTGGGTGGCGGTGGCCAGGCTCCCGTGACTTGCCACCGAAGCAGCGCCTCGGCACGCCTGCCGCGCGCCAGGGAGCTCACGCAGGCGACGGTCGCGCCGCACCGGCGGCCGCCCGCCGCAGGCGAGACGGGGACGAGCTCGCCTGCCATCGGGTGGGTGCCTCTGGCGCTCGTCGTCCTCGCGGGTGTGGGCTGCGAGTCCTTCTCGAACCGAGCATTTCCGCTGGCGCGACGGGTCGTCGCTGTGTGTGTGTGTGTGTGTGTGTGTGTGTGTGTGTGTGGGTAGACCACGTTGCCCGTGTCCGTGTCGCGAAGTTCATTTTGGCCTCCCCAACCACCACGTCTCCTCTTTCTTGTCTGCTTTCTTTCTTCTCCTTTTCGTCCTCCTGCCCTTCTACCCGCCACTCACTAGTCTGCATCCCGTAGTTGCGGTGCCTTTCAGTAACATCGCGCATTTCCTGGCTGTGGTGATTCGACCAGTGCCTGCAGGCGAAAGAGGACAGTGGCTACGAGGCCCGCTGGCTCAGCACGGCTTGCCGTCTGCCCTCGAGTAAAACAACCTTGTGTCCAGCTTCTCTGTCCTCGTTCTCCTCCCAGCGGAAGGTGTGCTGGAGGGGGAGGATGAGGAGGGGGGAGGAAGAGGAGGAGGAGAGGGAGGGGAGTAGGAGGAGGAGGAGGAGGAAGAGGAGTGGGAGGAGGAGGGGGAGGAAGAGGAGGAGGAAGGAGAGGAGGAGGAGGAGGAGGAGGAGGAGGGGGGGAGGAGGAGGAGGAGGAGGAGGAGGAGGAGGAGGGATAAGGAGGGGGAGGGGGAGGAGGGAGGAGGGAGCAGGAGGAGGGGCAGGAAGAGGAGGGCGGTGGATTGAGAGGGCGCAGCGAGGGTGCCCAGCCCACCAGCAGGAGCAGCGCCGACAGCGCCCACAGCACCCACTCCATGGACTTGCCCCCGGCCACCACCACCGCCCTGGGGTCCGGGAGCGACGAGACGATCACCGGGCTGCCCTGCGTCCTCTCCGCCGCCTTCTTGGCCAGCCTGAGCAGCAGCAGGCAGGCAGAGCTAGGGAGCAGCCGCAGCAGTGGTGTTCATGGTGGCGGTGGTCATGATGTTGACGTTGATGCTAATGTTGCTGATGACGATGATGGTGCTGTTGTTGCCGATACTGATGGTGATGATGATAATGATGATGATGATGACGATCAGCCCTGAACCTCGTTGTGTCTTCAATCCGCCATTGACGCAAAACGAACGGCCCAAATCGTCAAAACACCGTTTGGGTCCACCCCTGATGACGATGGCAACGACGATGATGACGACGATGATGATGATGCTGATGATGATAATGACAATGCTGATGCTGATGATGCTGCTGATGATGATGATGATGCTGATGATGGTGGTGGCGGTCGTTGTCATGATGTTGACGTTGATACTAATGTTGATGATGACGATGATGATGCTGATGTTGTCAATGTTGCCGTTGATGATGATGACGACGATGACGATGACGACGATGACGACGACGATTCTGATAATGATGATGATGCTGATGCTGATGATTATAATAATGAGAATGATGCCGAGGATGATGATGTTGTTGTTGATGATGATGATGGTGATGATGCTGCTGCTGATGATGCTGATGTTGCTGCTAGTGCTGCTGCTGCTGCTGCTGATGATGATGATGATGACGATGATGACGATGATGATGATGATGATGATGATGATGATGATGATGATGATGATGATGATGATGATGATGATGATGATGATGATGATGATGATGATGACTGTGGTGCGGGGGCTGGAGCGGGAGGATGAGGATAAGCCAGACGAGACAGTCGGATGAACAGGAGGTAACGGCCGCACGGTGTGGAATCGACAACGACATCCAGTCCAGCCCAGGAGGAGGTAGAGGAGGCAGAGGGGCAGATGTCAGGAGGAGTCGGAGGAAAAAGGAGGGGAGGAGGAGAAAGGAAGAGAATCGAGGAGGGCGAATAACGAGAAAAAGAGAGGAGGGAAAGAGTGGGGAGAAGTGAGAAGGGAGGAAGAGGAGAAGCAGGAGTGAGGAGGAATGCGAAGAAGAAAAGCGTCCTCCCCCATTCTCTCGCGGGCTGGGCCCTTTCCAGAATCCGTGCTTCGATACGGATCGTCAGTTCACATTGTGGAGTGCAAAGCCCAGATAGCGGATCGCCAGAAGGCCTTCCAAAAGCCTCTAGAAAGAGCACTGGAAGCACCTAGGAAGGAGCATCCGAAGGAGCTTCTGGAGAGCTTCCGCGCACACGCATTGGGAAGCAGAAACAAACAAACCTCTCGGGACCCGCTGCGAGTTCAGGCAAGCCCCGCCGAGGTGTACTGCCAGAAGCCGGAACGACTCCAGGGCTACTCTGCGGTACCGGCTTCTAATCTGAAGCCGTCTTAGCTCTCAGAGAGCTATCCGGGAACCTCGTAGCCGTGGCCCTCGTCATCGTCGTTGGCGTCGTCGTCGTGGTCGTGATGCGTGTTGCTCTGCTCGGGACTTGTTTCCCCATATGCAGTGACCACCACCACCTACACCATTCTCCATCCCTCTTCATACAAACAACTCCTTCCTGCCCCAGCATCTGACATGTCGCTGGGGCGGGCCAAACGTTTCGCCTGAGATCCCCTCACCGTTGACAATATGACCGTCCTCCTCCTCCTCCTTCATCCTCCTCCCTTTGATTCCCTCCCCCCCTCTCCTCTCCTCCTCCTCCTCCACCGTCCCTCCTCCTCCTCCTCCTCCTCCTCCTCCTCCTCCTCCTCCTCCTCCCCCGTCCTCCGTCCCTCCTCCTCCTCCCCCGTCCTCCGTCCCTCCTCCTCCTCCCCCTCCTCCTCCCCCTCCTCCTCCCCCTCCTCCTCCTCCTCCTCCTCCTCCTCCTCCTCCTCCTCTTCCCCCTGGGACCCCACCTCTGAACCCCCCAGCACGGGCCGCCGAGCGCCCCGCCGCTCCCGCATCTGCTCAGCCCGGCCGCCCGCCGACGGCGTCTCGCTCCGCGGCGCCATGCCCCCCTCGGGCCGGGCGCAAGGGGGGGATAGCCAAAAGGGGGGGGGGCTGAGAATCAGCCCACGTGTACCCTGAGATCCTGGCGACTCGATTCTGTCGAGTCGGGCGTTTTCGCCTCTCCTTTCGGGCCCCGGGGCCCTCACAGATCGTTCCGGCCCGAAAAATGACGCAGGAAGATGGGGTCCCAGGCTCCGGGCGCGGATTTTCACGATGTTGCAATTCTTTCGCTACGTCGGATCTCAGGGTAGCTGATTTTCCAGGGAGGCGCCCATGTTCTGTATCGAGTGTATCGAGGAGTGCAAGGGCCCGGCGGCGGGGCCGAAACTAGCTGCATGCAGCAGATTTCGTACCCCCCCCTTCCCTATCCCCCCCTTTCGCTCGGCCCGACTGGAAGCGCCCGCCCAGGCGGTCTGGCTGGGCGCAGGCTGCAGCAGGGCGGGCCGGGGCGCCCCTCGCGGCTGGCGGGGGCCCGGGCTGTCTCGGGCCCAAAAGGGGGGGGGGGAAGGAGGAGGAACCGCGCGGGCCCCGGGAGGGGGAGGAGGAGGACGCTCGGACGGGAGCCAAGAGTTTCTAACGCGCGTCTAACACAACATGATTTAGACACTCGAGCACGGCGCCTCGACGGGAGCGCTGAGTGTGTAAATCGCGTCTAACCCAAAATAGACACGTCTTCTATGGGAGAGAGGGGGAGCCGCGCGCGCCCCGGGAGGGGGAGGAGGAGGGGCGAGCGAGGGAGCGATAGGGCAAGGAAGCGTCCGAGACCAGAGCCCTGACTAGATTGCAGAGAGAGGAGGAGGCGAGAGGGCCTCGCCTGCACATGGGGGGCGCATGGTTCCTCTCACGCGCGGCGCCCAGGGGGCCAGACAGAAACCAACGCCACCCGACGAGCCAGCAGCCCTCCTCTTCCTTTTCCTCTTCCTCCTCCTCCTCCTCCCCCCCCTCCTCTTCCTCCTCCTCCTCCTCCTCCTCCTCCTCCTCCTCCTCCTCCTCCTGGTCCTCCTCCCTCCCCCCCGCCTTCCCTCAGCACCCTCCTCCTCCTCCTCCTCCTTCCTCCTGGTCCTCCTCCTCCTCCTCCTCCTCCTCCTCCTCCTCCTCCTCTTCCTCCTCCTCCTCCATCATCATCATCATCATCATCATCATCATCATCATCATCATCATCATCATCATCATCATCATCATCATCATCATCATCATCATCATCATCATCATCCCCCGATGGCCAGTGGAGGGTCCAGTCCCAGAATGGACAGGCCCGCACAACCAAGTAATCGGAGTCGTCGGACCCCGCGCCAGCAGCGCCAGCAACAAGTGGGCAAAGGCCCTCGTCTTCGCGGAGCGAACCCACGACCAGCTGAAGCTCCCTCCTGCCGCCATCCCGCACGCTGATAGGCAAGCTTTCAGGGGCAAGTGCTGGGGACGCGGCGGGGGCACCTCCCGAAGGTACAGTGCCGCGCCCGCCCTGTACATCGCCCCCTTCCCAGGAGGATTCCTTCGCGCCCGTGGCAGGGGGCCTTCACTCGACCAGCCAGTTACGAGTGCGATGTCTGGCCGAATTAGGCGGTTTTCTAGGCCTGGGGCCCCGAAGACTCCGACTTTGGGGGGCGACCCGATGGCCACTCGGGCACCACAAAGCCCGCAAAGCCAGAATCTTCCAGCATGGTGGTGGAGGCGATGGCCGCCGCATCTCCCGGACACATTCATCACCCGCACCGAGCCCCACGGCAGCAGCGGCAGCGGCAAGGGCAGCCTCCCCACCTCCCTGGTCGAGCTGGCGCCAGCCTATCTTCTCGGTCGCCTCGGTCAGCTATCTAACCATGACACTGGGCTCGCACAAGGCCCCTGGCTTACGCTGCGTCTTGCGCATCGCCTAGGCGCATTCGGCTTTGGTCTGCGTCGTTGATGGATGAGGTCGCTCAACGGGTCGACCGTGGAGGCCAGCAGCAAGTCAGAACACCTGGTCCTCCGCTTAATCGCACAGGTGGCGCAAAGGCATCCACTAGCGCGAAAAGCCGTCTTGGGCACCTCTTGGTGGTCTTGGTGCTCTCTTGGACCCAATTGGGGTCCTCTTGGAGGCCTGTCGGACCGTCTTGACTTGTTGCGACACACAGCAGAGGCACAAGTCAGAGCTCCTAAATGCAAGCACTGTTTTGGGAGCATGGGACCGCAATTCAAAACAGTTGCAACAATCTACACGCGTTCAGTGCAACCGGCGGTGGAGAAGGCGAGTCGATTTACCCGCACGAATGGTAAGATGTAAGAAGGTACAACTTCGGCGAATCGGTAACTCCGAATCTCAGCTGGATCATCATCCAACATTGAGGGGCTAAGAGCACGGTGGGTCTACAAAACATGCAAATCATTACACACTCGCGCCCGTGATTCTTCGGTGGAGCTGCGCTTGATGCCATGGATTCGCATACGCATATTCTGCATGACGCGTTTCTGATGTTGCTGAGAAATGTGATCGACTGCCTCAATACCTCAATATCTCTGGCAGTGCCCTTACAGCGCCCGATGCTAGCGATGAATTTATCGATGCTGACCTCAATCTCATCACCCGCGACAGGAGTGACGAGCATGTCAGCAGCCACGTGCGCATGGCAGGCTTCTCAAGCAGGAAGCTGAACGAATTCCGAGTCGCCGCTCCAGACTTGTCCTTGTCGCCCATGCTGATCCTCCTCCTCCTCCTCCTCCTCCTCCTCTTCCTCCTCCTCCTCCTCTTCATCTTTCTCATCCTCATCCTTCTCCTCCTCCTCCTCCTCCTCTTCCTCCTCCTCCTCCTCCTCTTCATCTTTCTCCTCCTCCTCCTCCTCCTCCTCATCCTTCTCCTCCTCCTCGTATTGTTGCGCGGTCGAACAGGCTCGGAGCAGCGTGCGTCACCCGCCGGCATGCTGCAAAAATTCGTGCAGGGAGGCGCGAAGTGCTCGTCGCGGCCGTCGGCGGAGACTTTCAACACACAGTCGCACGGCGGCGGCGTCCCGTCCAGGCGGCGGCTCGCGGGACCTCCCAGCGGAGGAAGAGGAGGAGGAGGAGGAGGAGGAAGATCCTCGAGGAGGTGAAGGAGGAGGAGGAGGAGGAGGAGGAGTGCTGCCGAGTGGGCATCCGCGCGGGACCTCCCATAGAGGAAAGAGAACTATGCACGTACACCGATTCTTGCCAGGCCCATCCCGAGCCCAGGATCGGTGCATATGCCCTCTTGCCTTGGCCAGGAAGGCATATGCACCGATCCTGGGCTCAGGATGGACGTTGTCAGGATCGGTGCATGTGCATAGTTCTCTTCGCCCGATCCCAGCGGCATGCTGCCAAGTGGGCAGCCGCGTGCCTGCGCCGAACGAGGCAAGGTTGCAGCCAGGCCCGTGCCAACGCGTGCGAGGCCGCAGGCAACGAGGAGCACGCTCGCACTGCGCGCAAACTCTGAATGCAGATGGCCTCCAAGTCGAGAGGGAAGCACGATCGCGAATCCGCCTCCGTCCTCCCTCTTGTCTGCCCCTCCTCCTCCTGCCGCCTGCCCTGATCAGCAGGCGCAGCCGCCGCTTGAAGAACACCGATTGGCCGGGCCATGAGAGGAACCAGACACGGAACCTCTCGAGGTCAAAAGATTTGACCCTGCGAATCTTGTCGCGCCCCGATGAACGGGGACCCGCGTCAGTCAGCACCAATGCCCCGGAGGGAAGCGCTGCCCACTCGTTGGGTGGGAGTCCCCTCGCCGGGCGAGACAGGACACCACCGGTCTGCACGCGTGGCCCCCCCGCAGGAGGGCGCAGGCCGGGCAAGACGAACGAGACACGGAAAGGTGAAGAAGGAGGCACGGAGGAAGGAGGACGATTAGGATAGCTATCGCACATGCGCGAAAGAGATCCACTGCTAGATGGGCAATCAGTGGCGGCTCTGGATATCAAGTTGATATCAATCAGAGAGCCCACCACCTTCAAGTTGATATCCTTGTCCTCGGCGCCTGCGACCAGGGTGCCCTTTTGAGACAGGGCGTGGATGGCCTTCGACGCATCGGCATGGTGCCAACCTTCGAGCACGCAGGCCGTGCTCGCCTGCTTCGAACCCTTTGCCGGGTCTACGCCGTGGGGGCTTTCGCTTGGAGCCTACCCTCGGTAGCTGGCACTAGCCCGTCATCCGTTGGCATCTTGGTGGCGATCCAACACTCCACGTTTGGCCAAGATCGTTGCTTGCAGACCCGCTCATACGGCACTAACCGTGCACCCGAGAAAGATGAATGACAGGATGGTCTCCAAGAACCCGAACTCCACATCCTCATCCTTGGTCCGGCGACCGCCGTGGCATCGAGGTGCACATACCCAATCGATGCATAAAAGCCTGATCGACGGGATCTAGGCTAATATGTCCTGCAGCTCTCACAGTTTGCTGCCCTCCGGATCGAAGTGATCTGGCTCTGGCCAGCGATGGGACACTGCCGATGTGTCATCAACAAACCACCCAGCTAGCACATCTTCCAGCACATTGTTCGCTTCACCAACAGACCAGCGCCCCTCAACACTTGGTGGCGGGGGATGGATCTGTTGCGCGGCTTGTTCATGACTGCTTCCACTGGGACGAAGCAGAAAACCATGGCCTCCAACATCTCGACCGCCTTGTCTGGCTGCTGCTCATCAACCTCCTGCTGCTCATCTCGGGGATCTACTGACCAGGGTCAATCCACGTCCAGGTCACGGGTCAGTCAGGCCTTGCAAGATCCTGCAAGATCCTGCACCCAAGCCCGGTCAGTGCACCCCTGGCTCTGCAGGATGCTGCAAGATCCGGCGCTCTGGCTGACCTCTGTTTGCATTGACCCCCGTCTCTTGAGCCCCGACATCAATCTTCGAATCCTGCTCCAGCTGTTGTCTGGTTTGAGCCAGGACGGAAGAGCCCACAAAAGGGGTGAGAGAGGAGGAGGAGGAGGAGGAGGAGGAGGAGGAGGAGGAGGAGGAGGAGGAGGAGCCACGACACGCTCCGACACGTCGATCTCCATCTCCGCGTCGCGCATGCCGCGGTCGGGCGCTGGGCCCCTGCCACGGCCCTAAACCCTAAATCCTAAACCCTAAGCCCACCCAGTGCTAGATGAGCGAATGCTGGTGAGCAAAAAGTAGCGTGTCCGTCTGCGCCACCGCGGCCCAAGTCAAGATGACTTGGACCAAAACGGCAACGGAAGCTTTCTGGAGGACTCTGGGAGCCTGTTGCAGGGCTTGTTGGGGCCTCTGTGGAGCTTTGTGGGGCGCCGTGCGATCCTCTTGAAGCATCTGGGGATCTCTTGGGGGCCTGTTGGGGCATCTTGAGGGGACATCTTGGGCGCATGTGGGGGGCATCTTGAAAGCATTTGGTGGGCCTCTTGGAAGCATGTGGAGGGCATCTTGAGGATCTTGTCGGCTTTTTTGAGGGGGAGGGCGCCTGGGCCCCCTTCGACTTCGACTGCCCAATCTTGGACCCCTCAGGCCGTCTTGGGGGCGCATCTTGGGCCGCCTTGGGCTTCCCTTGGGCCGTCATTGGGGCCTTCTTCGGCCGTTTTGAGCCGGTCTGGGGGCCCGTCTTGGGCTAGTGGTCTGACAGAAGCCAGACAGAGAAGACTAGACCGCGATAATTCAATGTAGGAGTATCCATGGCTTGCGCCGTGAGAAACCATTTCGACGGTCTTCTTGGGTGCCCTCTTGGGGCGTACTGGCGGTTTATTTGGCCGCCCTGCGGACATGGTGGGCCGCTTTGGCGGGCTATGAGCGCCTTCTTGAAGCCTCTTATTACAGGGCGACGAAATCTATACATATCCACTGCTCCCTGGCCAGGCCCATCCTCAACCCGGCAGCGGTGTATACGCCACGCCCTCCTGGCTTGGCCAGGAGGGCGCATATACAGCTCCTGGGTTCAAGATGGGCATGGTCAGGGAGCAGTGGATATGTATAGATTTCGTCGCCCGATATTACTAACCTCTGAAATCACCCTGGGGCAAACATAGCCTCCCCAAACGTCCAAAACCGAGCGTGGGCCCCCAAAGGGAACGTGTGTTATTTGGGTTAAAGAATGTGCTGCCCCGGGCCCCAAGACCTGGATGCCCGTTGCATTGCATACGCGATCTGATTTCTCCCGCCTCCTCCTCGCGACGAACAAGAAATCTCCAGTCTGTCTCGCTGGAGATAGAGAAAGAAGCGGCGAAACCTCATGACACGGGGCCCAAAACAAGATCTTACAATTCCTCCCGAAACTGGGCGCGGCACGGGCCACTGGCTGAGCTGGTGCGTTCTTTTTGTTCGGTCATGTGCGGTCCCGGAATTAACTTCTCTTCGAGAAACTTTATGTACAAGCCGAGCGGCGCCCATCTCAACGGTGGCTTTCGGAACGCGCCACGGGCTAGTTTGAGAGGGGGAGGAGCACAATACAATAGCGTGCGCAGCCAATATCTTTGGACGTCGTGGAGGTCGTACGCACTTCGCAATGGCGCTAGAAGAGACCAGTGTGGCAGCTCACGGAACCCCTTTTGGATTCTTCCGCAGGGGAGTTTTTGGACGGTTTCTTGGAGGTGTTCCCAAGCTCGGGGGGGAGGGGCGAGGAAGGTTTTGGACGGTTTTCCCAAAAACCTTCCAACAACCTTCCAACATTAGCCACACCGCCCAATACATTCAGAACACATTCGAACACAAACCTTCCACATACCGTCCAAACGACCTTCCAAAACCTGTCAAAACCTCCCAAAACCATTCAAGCAGCTTCCAAACATCTTCCAAACAAGCCTTCCCACATTTTCATAATCATCATCGCCATAGTCGTCATCGTCATCGTCATCGTCATCGTCCTCGTCGTCGTCATCATTATCATTAGCCCCGTCATCACCAGCAATGTTATAATCGTCATCATCATCATCAGCATCAGCATCCGCATCATCATCACCATCGTCGTCATCACGATCATCATACTCACAATCAGCATCATCACCATCGTCACCGTCGTCGTCATCATCGACATCAGCAGAATCGTCACCATCACCATCATAATCACCAGTATCGTGATCGTGATCGTGATCGTGATCGTGATCGTCATCAGCATCAGCATCAGCATCATAATCACCATCACCACCACCATCATCATCATCATCAGCATCATCATCACCACCATCATCATCATCATCATCTCAACGCTATCCCGTGCCACACCTTGCAGCGTTCCACTTTTTGCTGTGTGGGCCGGGGGCCTGGGCAGCCTGGTCAAGGGCCGGGACGCATCATCACCATCATCATCATCAGCAGCATCAGCATCAGCATCTACATCATCATCAGCATCATCCCCATCAGCATCATCCCCATCATCATCATCATCTCAACGCTATCCCGTGCCACACCCTGCAGCGTTCCACTTTTTGCTGTGTGGGCCGGGGGCCTGGGCAGCCTGGTCAGGGGCGGTCATCATCATCATCATCATCATCATCATCATCATCATCATCATCATCATCATCAGCATCAGCATCAGCATCAGCATCAACATCATCCCCATCAGCATCATCCCCATCATCATCATCATCTCAACGCTATCCCGTGCCACACCCTGCAGCGTTCCACTTTTTGCTGTGTGGGCCGGGGGCCTGGGCAGCCTGGTCAGGGGCCGGTCATTATCATCATCATCATCATCATCATCATCATCATCAGCATCAGCATCAGCATCAGCATCATCCCATCAGCATCATCCCCATCATCATCATCATCTCAACGCTATCCCGTGCCACACCCTGCAGCGTTCCACTTTTTGCTGTGTGGGCCGGGGGCCTGGGCAGCCTGGTCAGGGGCCGGTCATCATCATCATCATCATCATCATCATCATCATCATCATCATCATCATCATCATCAGCATCATCATCAGCATCAGCATCAGCATCATCCCCATCAATCATCATCATTCATCATCTCAACGCTATCCCGTGCCACACCCTGCAGCGTTCCACTTTTTGCTGTGTGGGCCGGGGGCCTGGGCAGCCTGGTCAGGGGCCGGTCATCATCATTATCATCATCATCATCATCATCATCATCATCATCAGCATCAGCATCATCAGCATCAGCATCAGCATCAGCATCAGCATCATCCCCATCAGCATCATCCCCATCCCCATCAGCATCATCCCCATCATCATCATCATCTCAACGCTATCCCGTGCCACACCCTGCAGCGTTCCACTTTTTGCTGTGTGGGCCGGGGGCCTGGGCAGCCTGGTCAGGGGCCGGTCATCATCATTATCATCATCATCATCATCATCATCATCATCATCATCATTCATCATCATCAGCATCAGCATCATCATCATCATCATCATCATCTCATCACCATCACCATCATCATCATCATCATCATCATCATCATCATCATCATCATCATCATCATCATCATCATCATCATCATCATCATCATCATCATCATCATCCCCATCATCAACCGTCGTCCCGCCCCGCGCCGCCTCGCCGTCCTGCCGCCCGTCCTTCGGCCTCCGCTCTCGCCCCCCGTCCGCCCTCTGGCGGCGCCGGCTCTCCTCGGGGGGGGGGAGCGGCGCTCAGGAGCGGGGCACGGCACGCGAGGGAGGACGTCAACGGGGGGGGGGAGGGCAGCGAGAAGGAGGGGAGCGAGGGAGGAGCGCGAGGAGGAGGGAGGAGAGCGGGAAGGAGAGAAGGAAAAGCTGTCAGCGCGAGGGAGGAGAGCGAGAAGGAGCATCGCGTGGATGTCAACGAGGGGGGCGAGGAGAGCGCAGCGGAGTATCTCTGCCCCCCCTCTTTCTGCTCGAGGGCCCGCGAATTGTCGGGAACCCGAAACGACCCTCGCCGAGTGCCAGATTTCTGAAGGTCGATGTGTTGGTTTCCATACTTCGGAGGTATGGGAACCCATAGCGGGAAGACTGCCGCTCCTCCTCCTCCTCCTCCTCCTCCCTCCTCCTCCTCCCTCCTCCCTCCTCCTCCTCCTCCTCCTCCTCCTCCTCCTCCTCCTCCTCCTCCTCCTGCTCTTTTCATCCTCCTTACCTTCCCGTTTTCCTCCTCCTATCGTCCTCCTCCTCCTCGTCCTCCTTGTCGTCGTCCTCCGCTTCTTCCTCTTTCCTCCTCCTCCTCCCTCCTCTTCCTCCTCCTCCTCCTCCTCCTCCTTCCTCCTCCTTCTCCTCCTCCTTCGTCCTCCTCCTCCTCGTCCTCCTTGTCGTCGTCCTCCTCCTCCCTCCTCCCTCTCCTCCCCTCTCCTCCTCCCTCCTCCTCCTCCTCCTCCTCCTCCTCCTCCTCCTCCTCCTCCTCCTCCTCCTCTTTCCCTCCCTCCCTCCCTCCCTCCCTCCCTCCCTGTTTCTCCTCCCTCCCTCCCTCCCTCTTTCCCCTCCGTGGCCCAAAACGGGTACCTGGCAAAGGCCCCTGAACTGAACTGCCGCCGCGGCCCCAAGCAGCGTGCCGGCGCAGGCGCGCCTGCCTCCCCCTCCCGTTCACGTTGCCCCCTCGCTGCCGCCCGCCCGAGAGCAGGAGGGGCAGCGTTTCCCCATGCCTTCCCCCTTGTCCCTCGCTCCTGGTCGATCGAGGGCCGAGGGCCGAGGAGTGGGCGAGGGTGTTCCTCGCCCCCCCTCGGGGAGCGCGGAGCGGTCGGGGGGTCCAGGAGGGCCGAGGATCGCCGGGCGAGGCCGCGGATCGAGGACGGCGGATCGAGGGGGGGGCGAGGAGGGCCGAGGGGTCGGGGGGCCCAGGATCGAGGATCGAGGGGTCGAGGAGGGCCGAGGATCGAGGCCGATCTAGGATCGAGGGGCCGCGTTTCCCCCCCTGGCAGGATCAGCCAGCATCGAAACGGGACATCGGATCGGATCGGAACGCAAGCCAGATCGGGCCGGGTCAGCACGGGATCGAAATCGAATCGGATCGGCTGTGGCAGGATACACAACAGCGTCACGCAAGCATCGGGCCGCATCGGATCGCTGGGAAATCGACATCGGGTCGGATTGAATTGGCCGATCGTGGGGATCGTCGGATCGTCGGGTCGTAGTCCGTCGTCGTCGTCGTCGCGGTAGTCGTCGTCGTCGTCGTCGTCGTCGTCGTCGTCGTCGTCGTCGTCGTCGTCGTCGTCGTCGTCGTCGTTCGGATCGAGATGGGCCCTGTCCTCGTTCCTCCTGGCCGTTGCCCGGAGAGCGCCGGGGGGAGCGCGCAGCCCAGCAACGCCCTGCCCCCAGGGCTCTGGGGGGAAATGCTGGAACAAGTGCGCCGTGCAATTGTCCCCCCGACGAGGAGGAGGAGGAAGAGGAGGAGGAGAAGGAGGAGGACGAGGGGAGGAGGAGTAGGGGGAGTAGGGGGAGGGGGAGGAGGGTGAGGGGAAAGAGGAGGAGAAGGAAAGAGGAGGAGGAGGAGCAGGAGGAGGAGGAGGAGGAGGAGGAGGAGGAGGAGGAGGAGGAGATGGAGGAGGAGGAAGACGAGGAGGAGGAGGAGGAGGAGGAGGAGGAGGAGGAGGAGGAGGAGGATCACTGACCAAACTGCCAGGTCTGCGAGCGGGCCGCCATTGAGCAGTCCCTCGGGGCCGTTGGCCGCATTTGGGACTGCCAACGGGGGACACCCATTGCTTGGGGAGATCCCAACTCGCAGCCTGTTTATGGGGGGTGCTAGCGAGGTCCCGCCCTGGCTAGCAGCCCCACATCGAAAGCAAGCTTGGGCTACCAACCCTGGGACGGGGGAGGAGGAGGTAGAGAGGAGAGCGCAATGGGGGGGGGGCACTGGGAGCCGGCGGGAACGGAAGGGGGAAGGGGGGGCAGACGAGGCGGGGGAGAACGAGGAGGCAGGATGGCGTCCGGCCTCTGGAGAGCTGGGCGGTAGGGTTAGGACTGGCTTGGGTTAAAAAAGGGATGTGGGGACGGGAGCGCTTCGTTGGTGGCGACGCCTTAGCAATCTGGACCCAGCCTACATGGACCCCCCTAGTGTTGGCAAAATATTGCCTACCTGGTGCGGCGTGCTACCAGAACTCAAGGCTTATGTGTTGAGTCGGGCAAGCCGAAACAACGGACCGCAGGCTAGATGGGTATGCGCAGCATAGCCGTAGCCCACCGTCCTAGCAGAGTTCCAGTACGGACGGCACTAATCTTGCCTACCGAGTACTGCTTGCCACCAGAATTCCAGCCTGATTTGTTGAGTCGGGCCAGCCGAAACAACGGACCGCAGGCTAGACGGGTATGCGTAACATAGCCGTAGCCCACAGTCCTGGCAGAGTTTCCAGTGCGGACGTCACTAGCCTTACCTGCCTAGTGCGGGTTTCTGCCAGAACTCCAGCCTTGGTTGTTGATGGCGACTGGAGAATGACTCTAAAACTTTTAGAGTCACGCAAACTCAAGGGCCTTAGCCCGGGGCCCTAACAGAGTTCCCAATTTCTTGCCTACCTAGTGCGGCGTGCTACCAAAACTCAAGGCGTATGTGTTGAGTCGGGCAAGCCGGAACAACGGACCGCAGGCTAGATGGGTATGCGCAGCATAGCCGTAGCCCACAGTCCTAGCAGAGTTCCAGTGCGGACGGCGCTAGTCTTGCCTACCTAATGCTGCTTGCCACCAGAACTCCAGCCTGATTTGTTGAGTCGGGCCAGCCGAAACAACGGACCGCAGGCTAGATGGGTATGCGTAGCATAGCCGTAACCCACAGTCCTGGCAGAGTTCCAGGGCGGACGGCGCTAGCCTTACCTGCCTAGCAGCCAGGACGAGGACCAGAGCAGTGGAGGGGCCCCCCTCCAGAGCCAGAGCTGCCCCTGCAAAACGCCGCCAGGACGAGAATCAAATCGGGTGGGGACACATCGAGAATCCCGGAGATCCGGCGGTTCTGCAGGATGTCTCGGGCGCCGCCGCCTTCTCAGAGCGTCCTGGAACGCTCTGAGAACGCTCCAGAACGCTCTGGAACGATCTATCCTGGTCCTAGCCCGGTCCGATCCGAAGCCCTCGAACCAGCTGCGTGGTGCCCTGCCCTAAAGGCCCGGCACCTGAGATTCCAGGCAGCCTCGGCACGGAAGTTGGGCGGAGCCGGGCGCCTGACAGCTCTGCGAACGCAACGCTCCACGGCCAAGATTAGAGAGCCCCTTCTGTCACTCAAAGGTCTGTTCGTTTACCTGCTGCCTTCCACGGCGGGAGGAAGAGGAGAAGAGGAGGAGGACGACGAGTCGTCGAGGAGTGAGACGAAGAGGAACGAGAGGAGAAAGAGGAAGAGCAGGACGCTAGGGCATGTACCCAGACCGCTTTCGCCAGTGCGCAGCGTACAGCGAAGGGTTAAAAGCGAAACGAATTCAACTGTTTAAAATCTGCGTTTAAACAGTCGATCCTCTCAGTGAGGCCGTCCTTTGCGGATCCGACTGAACACACAGGTTAAATTAGCCATGCAAACAACTGCTCAATGTTTATCCCAGCTGATCCTCTCAGTGAGGCCGGACTTTGCGCCTCCAGCTGGTTTAAACACAAAAGTTGAACAGATGTTTAGCTACACGCTGCCAAGCTGCTGGGAGGATGTAGAGAGGAGAGAAAAGAGGTTAAGAGGAGGATGAGGAGGACGAGGAGGGAGAGGGCGGCCGGAGGCAGCTTCTGTGCCCCCCGGGGCCCCTCGGAGCCGCTGCGTGCAGCTCGGCCGACCGGCGCGGCGACGCCATCAAACCGCCAGGCCGCTAGACTTCGTCGTCGTCGTCGTCGTCGTCTGTTGTCGTCGTCGTCGAGGAGTGAGACGAAGAGGAACGAGAGGAGAAAGAGGAAGAGCAGGACGTTAGGGCATGTACCCAGACCGCTTGCGCCAGTGCGCAGCGTACAGCGAAGGGTTAAAAGCGAAACGAATTCAACTGTTTAAAATCTGCGTTTAAACAGTCGATCCTCTCAGTGAGGCCGTCCTTTGCGGATCCGACTGAATACACAGGTTAAATTAGCCATGCAAACAACTGCTCAATGTTTATCCCAGCTGATCCTCTCAGTGAGGCCGGACTTTGCGCCTCCAGCTGGTTTAAACACAGAAGTTGAACAGATGTTTAGCTGCACGCTGCCAAGCTACTGGGAGGATGTGGAGAGGAGAGAAAAGAGGTTACCTCGCCTGGCCCGCGAGCGCGAACATCATGTTTCTGTTGCGTTTCACAATCCAGTTGCCTCTCGTTGTCTTTCCTGTCATCGTCGTAGGAGGGAGCACGAGGCACTGTGGGAGGAGAGGGGCCGGGGAGGACGGAGAGGACGGAGAGTAGGAAGGAGGAGAGGGGAGGGGCGAGGATCGAGGAGAAGGTGCACCATGGGGGGATTAGAGAGGAGGAGGGGGAGGAGGGAGGAGAAAGCACGATGGGAGGAGGGAGAAGAGGCATGACAACGCCTCAGGTGATTGCCAGCAGCTGGGAGCCGGGCCAAACTATCATCAGAGGACTTGCGGGGCGCCAGACGTCATATGCGAAGGTGAATACCGCACCATCCGTCCGCCTGACAAACTTCCAGCTGGGCAACGAACTCACCACCTGCATGCGAATATGCCTACAAACAGATGCGGCAACCAACTTGATGCCGCCACGCCAACGGCAAGCGCGGCAGAAGAG